TTCTGAATGAAGAGGGAACTCCAGTTTGTGTCTTTTTTCATTCATTTAATAAACACAGAAAGGGAGAAATTAATTTCATAGATACTTATATATCATTGCTTAAGTTCTGAGAAATTGACCCAGACAAATCCAGAAGGCACATCAGCCACTTGAGTCAGATAGACTTCTAAATACAGTGTCACAGTCCTTTAGATTAGTCATCACCACCTTTCACAGCACTAGTTCTACTCTAGTTCGTTTCAGACAAGATATAAGGGGTAATACCTCTGCTCATCTAAGTTTTATTTATCTGGGACATGCTGTTTAAAGGTAAAGGAAGGGCTGGGAATGTGGCTTAGTGGTAGAGTGTTTGCCTAGCATGCATGAAGTACCATATAAACAGAAGAAGCCAGACGAAGCACTATGGCTCAAGTGGTAGAGTGCTAGCCTTGAGCAAAAACAGCTCAGGGACAGTGCCAAGCCCTGAGTTCAAGCCCCAGGACTGGCAAAAAAAAAAAAGTAATCAAAGCATGGTAGGTAGCTTGTGAGTTTTGTCTTCCATGATCTCAGACTTCTCTAGTACCCTTTTGTCCACTTGGTAACCCTTCAACTCTGCAACCACCACTGCCTCACTCCAGAGGTGAAAGGCAGTACTGTTAGTTCTGTCACAGAGAAGCACAGGAGGAGGAAAGATAATTTGTATGTGCAGGGCAAGGAAGGAGTTTATTTTCTTTTCTCAATTGCTTGCTATTTAAGCAGCTTACAGCTATAAGAATCACAAAACCATGTCAATTCTTATGAATTACGGGTCAGCGTGGAGCCCTGCGTATAAAATGACTCTAAATTCCACAGTTGAGGAATCGTGGAGCGTTACGGGAAGATTAGTAGATAAAAAAGACAGGTGGTCTGTCACAGGCTACGAGTATCCCTCCCACTCTGCTGCCTCTCAAGCCTACTTTATTTCTAGTCATAGCACCAGTCTTGGTGGAGAAACATGAAGTACCTTATGTATCACGGTCCTACTGGTAAAACAGAAAAGTAACTGTTGTCAGCATACTAAGATATATTTATTGAGTTGGTTTAGTTTGTGTCAGACACTAAGCTAATTGCTCTACCAGCATTCTCTTGCCTAATTCTTTCACAGACAACTCGAAGCACATAATTTCAGCAGCATTAATGAAGGAGGACATTCATTAATCTCTAATTAACCACCAAAAAGCTGAAGTGGAGCTCAAGTAGTAGAGTGCTAGCCTTGAGCAAAATAGTGCCCAAGTCCCAGCACGAGTGCCAAGAAAATAAGTAAATAAATCTGTGAATCTTTAGATCGTGCTAGTCTTTTTTTTTGTGAAAATACTGTACAGAGGAGTTATAATTACATGGGCAAGATAATTAGTACATTCCTTATCAAGCATTATAGCCTCCTCCTTTGTTTCCACTTCCCATCCTTCCCATCTTCCCCCAACCAATCCTCCTCCCCCACCCCACCAAAGTTGTAAAGTTCGTTTTCGACATAACGACTTGTACATCTCATTGTTGCAATGGGTCCACCTGTATCCCTAGTTAAACGATTTATTTTTTCCCTTCCCCTCCACAAATTATACTGACATCAAATACAGTGAAAGCAGGGGCTATACTGTGGGGGAGGGACATACAAAGCAACAAAGAAATCATCTTATAAATGTGTTAGAAACAATCACATGAAAGGAAAAAAAAACATTTGAACACTTATCTTGGGATTCATTCCCCTAACATCACCTTATCTGACCTTTTCTGCTTGACTCAGACATATACTAGATATTGCAAATAAGGGAAACCATGGGACCTATGTTTCTTTGGGCCTGGCTTACTTCACTTAATAGAATTTTTTCCAAGTCTTTCCATTGTGCTAGTCTTAAAATATTAAGATCAGAAACATTTAATTTACCTCTACTTCATAATTTTTACATTTCATTTCCCTCCAAATACAGTTCTTACTTTCAAATCATTGGTATAAATATTACATTTTGTATGAATATTAGCTTCATTTTCGCATGTTAAGTATCTCCCAATCCTGGAGGTGGCTGGTAGCTCCCTCTCAGATATGGAGGATCACAGTTTGAGTCCAGTCCAGCAAAAAATAAGGCTGGAGATGTGGCTCAAGTAGGAGAGCACCAGACTAGCAAACTTTAGGTCTTGGGTTCAACCCTTGTAACACACACACACACACACACACACACACACACATGTACACACGTACACACACACACAGCCCACAAGTATTTCCTGAATGCATTGTATTCTTTATAGTTGAATTGGTGAACTTGCAGATTTTAGTGAAAATATCTTTTCATCTGAGAAATATATAAAATACGAATTATTGTATCTGAAGTTATTGCTTGTATTACTTATATAAGCAGTAGAAAATAGGTTTTAAAATACTTTATAAAGATGTATAAAGCCTAGATTAAAAATAATTTTTAAATAATTGTTATTGTAAGTGGTTACATAAATTTCACAATTTCACAGTGTTGTGAGATAATGATAGTTAAAGTCACAAACACATTTTAACCTTCACAAGGCAGATTGTCAGTATCAGGGTCTATAATGTTTGTAAATTCTATGAGCTTTGACAATACAACTGTTTCTTCCACATTGGGTGATATGTACATTTCTTTCCTTTTGCTTAGTGTCAGCTGTTCCCTCTTTCCCTCTCATTCCCCCCCTCCCAACGCTGCCCTTGAGTGGCTCAGTTCACTGTCATCCATGTCCAGTGCAGCTGATGGGCGCCTCTGTTGTATATTTTCCCTTTTCCTAGCTTCCCTCAGATGTGCACATGTATATACCATATATGTAGTCAGGAACATGGAGTCATTTAGCAATGCTACAACCAGATGAGTGGAGGTCCTTTGTTTCTCAAGTCTTGCTTACTTTGTCGTATCTCCTTGCAGTTTGGATTTAACATCCACATATCGAGGACACCATGTGCCATTTGTCTCTGAGCTCTTGGCTTGCCTCGCTCAAAATGATTTGTTCTACTTCCATCCATTTCCCTGCGAATGCCATTATTTTGTCCTTTCTAATGGCTGCATAATATTCCATTGTATATAGGTACCACAATTTTTGGATCCATTCATCTGTGGTGGGGCATCTGGGTGGTTTCCATATCCTGGCTATTGTGAACAGTGCTGCAATGAACATGGAGGTGCACGTGTCCTTGTATCCTGGTTTCTGTTGCTCAGGGTAGATGCCTAGGAGTGGCATGGCTGGGTCATAGTGGAGGTCTATATCTAGCTTTTTGAGATATCTCCAGACTGTTTTCCAAAGTGGTTGTATTAGTATACATTCCCACAAGCAATGCAGTAGGGTTCCTCTTTCTCCGCATCCCCTCCAACATTTGTCGTTGGCTGACTTTAGGATGTGGGCCATTCTGGCTGGGGTAAGGTGGTATCTCAGGGTTGTTTTTATTTGTATTTCCTTTATAGCCAGAGAACATTTCCTCATGTGTTTCTTTGCTGTTTTTATCTCTTCTGAGAAGTCTCTCTTTAGTTCCCTTGCCAATTTAGTGATTGGTTTGTTAGATTTGGGAGGGGTTAGTTTCTTGAGTTCCCCATATATAATGGATATTAGGCCCTTGTCTGATATATTGCTGGTATTTTTCCCAGTTGCTTGCCTGTCTTTCTAGTTTGGTAGCTGTGTCTTTAGCTGTGCAGAAGCTTTTTATTTTCAGGTAGTCCCATTTGTAGAGTCTCTCTCCAATTTGTTGTGACTCTGGGACTCTGTTCAGGAAGTTCCTGCCTACTGTCTCTCCTACTCTGTCCTGCAGCAGTTTCAGAGTTTCAGGTTTGATGTTAAGATCTTTAATCCATTTTGAGTTGATGTTAGTGCATGGTGATAGGCTGGGGTCCACTTTTAGTCTTCTGCACGTGGCGCCCAGTTTTCCCAGCACCAGTAGTTGAAGAGGATATGCTTCTTCCACTGCATGTCTTTGACTCCTTTGTCAAATATCCACTGGCTATGTGTATGTGATTTTATTTCTGGATCTTCTAATCTGTATTGGTCTTCGGGTCTGTTTTTGTGCCAGTACCATGCTGTCTTTGTTATTATGGCTCTATAGTAGAGCTTGAAATCCGGTATCGTGATCCCTCTCACATTGTTTCTTTTGCCTAGAATTGTTTTGGCTATTCTAGGTTTTTTGCTGTTCCATATGAATTTTGGATTGTTTTCTCTATTTCAGTAAAGAACATCATTGGGATTCTGATGGGAATTGCATTGAATTTGTAGATCATTTTTGGCAGTATGGCCATTTTCACTATATTAAGTCTTCCTATCCAAAAACATGGAGGTCTTTCCATTTCCTGGTGTCTTCTATGATTTCTTTCCTTAGGTTTTTGTAGTTTTCACTAAATAGTTCCTTTACATCTTTGGCTAGGTTAATTCGTAGATATTTTATTTTTAAAAATAATTATTTTAAAAAATGCACTGTACTACATATATCAGTCCCAAAGGACTGATAACAGTTTATGTGAAAAATAGTTTGACCCTATGATATAAAAATATTTAAGATAATTACTATAGTATAACCCAATAAAGATGTTGGAAGCAGACAATCCTCTATTAAATTCCTACTCAATCATTTAAAAAGATATGAGGCAAGTATTTTTTTTTCCTTAAGTCTCATGATCCTAACCTGAAGAGATGTAAGATCTGTTTGACAGATTGCTTTGAAGATTCAGTGCCCTGAGGTCAGTTTAGTATGGCGCTTGCTGTGATAGGTGAATGCCTAATGATTAATATTGGCAACCGTTACTTAAGTACCCACTTTGTATTAAGTGCTAGTCTCAAGGCGGGGAATAAGGTGGTAAATCAGAGCCCTGTTTTTCGGAACTTATAGATCAGAGTTATCTAAGTACTTTGAATGCTATGTTAAAAATAATAGAAAAAAATTAAAAAAATAAAATAAAATAAATATACTTACTATTCTTGAAAAAAATAATAGATAGATCTCACATGTATCATTGTACCCTTTTCTTTTTTATTCTTAGGCAATGAAAACTACAAACAGATTGCAATGTGTGTACTTTACCATATAAGCATGGATGACCGCTTTAAATCTATGTTTGCATACACAGACTGCATACCACAGGTAACTAGTTTATAAGATCTATAAATGTTTTCACTCTCTTGTTAGACTTTTTTCCTTAAAAATTCTAATTAATATAAATTTGTATAAAAATATTTATAACATATATAACTCTTGTCTAAAATAAACTAAGCCTGGGTTCTGTCTCTAGCACTGAAAATTTTAAAAAAGACTGTCTAGAAATAAAAATAACTTTAATTAACCTAGGGATAATTAACATTTTGGTACCTTGGCCTCTCTCTGCTTAAAAGATAAAAATAGATTGGGATTAGCCAGGCGCTGGTGGCTCACGCCTGTAATCCTAGCTACTCAGGAGGCTGAGATCTGAGGATCATGGTTCAAAGCCAGCCCGGGCAGGAAAGACTGTGAGACTCTTATCTCCAATAAACCACCAGAAAACCAGAAGTGGCGCTGTAGCTCAAGTGGTAGAGCCCTCGCCTTGAGCTGAAGAGCTGAGGGACAGCGCCCAGGCCCAGAGTTCAGGCCCCACAACCAGCCCCAAAAAAAAAAAAAAAAAAAATATATATATATATATATATATATATATATGGATTATATTGTATATGTAATTTTATATGTTGCTTTATTAGTTAATCATGGTATGTTTTCATATCACTGAACATTCTTTGAAAATGTTTATAGTTTAGCAAACAAAATAAATGAAAATATTATAAATATCATAATTGTAAATTCTTATCCACATCTATGAATGTTTCTTTAGTTTAAATTCCTAAAATTCAAATAAGCATCAAAATATGTGGACATTTGTGCCTTTGACACATTTAGGTCAAATGCTACAAAGGCATTCATTTATATTTCCAACTAGTACTTCACTTTTAACAGTAGCAGTTATTAATGTCTCTCTAAAATATAGGGGATCAATTTTTCTATGTACTTGCATTTTCATGGGTGTTTAGTGAAGTTGAACATGTTTCATGTGTTTATTTTCCATATTCTAGTATTTTTTTCTATTAACATATTTTATCTATCAATATTTTATCATTGATAAATAAAAGCAATATATATAGCTAATTCTGTACTATGAATATTTCTCAAGTTAATAATTTACATTTTAATCTTGTATATAGTTAATTTTTTAGTTCTTCACATCCTCTAATGGAAAAATGTTTCATCAAAATTCTTGTGGTTTTTGGGCTGGGAAGGTGGCTCAGTGATAGAGCGCTTGCCTTGAATGCATGAGGCCCTGTGTTTGATTGCTCAGCACCACACAAGCAGAAAAGGCCAGAAGTGGTATTGTGGCAGAAGTGGTAGAGCGCTAGCCTTGAACTGAAGAGCTGAGGGACAGCGCCCAGGCCCAGAGTTCAGGCCCCACGACTGACAAAGAAAAAATTCTTTTGGTTCAATAGCCCTGTTTTCAAGAAAGATTTTTCTTTGACTCTATTGCTTGATATATTTCTAATGTTAGGTTTACTTATGTTGAAGGAGATTACCAATTTTGTTTTCCCTGTGACCAGGGTTCAAACTTGTTATTATACACTTTTGTTCATTGGCTGCACTCTACCACCTGAGCCATGCTTCTAACACCCCAGTTTTTGCGGAGCCAGTTCTGGGGCTTGAACTCAGGGCCTAGGCACTGTCCTTAAGCATTTGTGCACAAGGCTAGTGCTTTACCACAATGAACCACAGTGCTATTTCCCCAGTTTTTTTTCATAGACTGCTTCATAATGTTTGTGATTCTATGTATGTGATTGTGCTCTTTGGGAATGTACATTCATGTAATCGTTATTGTGTCATTAACTATGAATAAATGAAGCTCTGGATATCATATTCAAAGCCCAGGTTGCGCTGCTTTTGATATTATATTATTTTTTGTAAAATAGTTTTCTAATATAAGAAAAGTAAAATTATAATATGTATAATATATAGTAAAAATAATGCTATTAAAAAGAAATTCAGGAAAATATGACAATCATACTAATGTTCTCATAAAATACTGTTACTGGGCAATTCCTTGTCATCCTAATATGAATTATGAAATGTAGGCTACATTGAGTATTTAAAACACAGTAAACATAGATGATAATTTCTCTTTTCATTAGTCTTTTATTCATTCTAATTTAGTGAGACAGAGTTAAAATTGAATATGCTTCTTTGGAATTATTTTTTTTTTACTTATATTTGAGAAACTGGTGAACTCTGAAGGACAGTTTCTTTGCCTTTCATATCAGGGGATAAACTAATTATGGCTGTAGAAAATAGACATCCTTCAAAGAATATACAGTACATCTTATCTAACAAGACAGGGTCCTTTATGGTGATAAAATGTGTCAGACTATAGCTCATGCACAGAGTAATCAAACCCTTTGTCAAACAAGTGTTCAGTAAAAGAGTAGCCATGTCAAAAGGAGATTACAGATGATTTACTCCAGTCACACTCCACATGTTCTAAGGACTTTCTACTTTGCAGTTTCAAAGGGTGTTCCTTTTCCGATCTCATTTAGTGTCAGAATTTCATTGACTGCAGGATATGAATTGGAAAGCAGCCAAGAAAGAATAATATTCTTGGAGAGATTGATTCTTTCTATCCAGTTTAGTTTTTGAAAAGAATAACATTAAATTTAAAGGTGCAAATGAGGAAGAGTATAAAACTTACAGCTTTCTCCTTTGAATGTTTAGTATAAAAAATAAAATATTAGATTTATTTTAAGCCAGTAAATCAAAAACAAAAGCCTGTTTACCTTTTAGATGTTATCATTGTTTCTTTTTAAAATTTTTTGTGCAGTTTTTCTGTAGCTTTTTAAGAGTGATGTTACTGCATGGATTTTCTTGCCGTTTCTAATGTCATTCATATATGTCACTAGTGGGGTTTTCAGAACACTTATTATCTGTATTTTATTAGCAAAACTTCCCAACACTCATTCAAAGCTCAAGGTTTTTTAGGTTTTTATTTGTGTTTTTGTTTTCTTTTTAGAATGTAAGGTTTCATGAAAATCATGAGAGTGTATTCACTCTGTTATGTTATATGCATATTGAAGTTTTTTATTATGAGGCAATGTTTTGAGGAAAACAAATGATATCCAGAATATATTTGTTTACAAAGTGCTATCCAACCTGTAACTTGTACTTCACAGTGCCCAGTTTTGACATGTTTAGGAAAAAGTGACTTATTGTTAACCCAGTACCAAGTTCATTGCAAAATAAAACAATGATAGAAAGCAAATTAGATATTAAATGACATTTCCAAGTTTCCTTCAGGAATTAAAAAGACATTCCTTTCAGAAATAATGTTGTAACTAGTGAGACTTAAATTTACTGGTGACAGCAAGCTGATTAACTTACTTCCTAAAGAAAACCATATTAAGATTGGAATGGCTGTAAGATAATGTAATATTTTTTTCTGTGTGAATTGTACACATTAATATTTGTTTAATAAAGCTCTTCAAGTATTGTCCATGAATTTTCAAAAGAAAGCCTAAAAGAACCAAAGGTAGAAAAGCATTGGCCCAGTTATAATTCGTATTACTATAAATGATTATGAAAAGAGTGATTACATTCATTAATTACATTAGATTCTATTGTGTGTATATATAATTATATATAATCTAATTTAGCTTATGTAACTGGCTGTGTGTAGTGCAAGTAACTGCACAAAAGTCAGGTTCTCTTCATAAAATGTCAAGTCTTTCCTATTTTTGACCCATTCATGGTTCTATTTACTGTCTTATATGTGTTTTATTGGATAAACCTATAATTAGATCAGCATTCACTTTCAGAATAGATGATTTTACATGCAACATTCCTCAGAAACTTTATTACTATATTGCTTTGCTTTCTTTTATAATTTAGTGCGCCTAACTGCCCAATGTATTCTCATTTTCTTTGCCTATTTATCACTATTATGCAAGATTTGAGGGCCATTTCATCTTCCTTCATACACAGTCTTAACGGGCTCATTGGGTAGATTGTTTCAAGTAAGCATATTTGGGATAACCAGGAGTTAATGGTTGTATTCTAATAATAGTTAAAAGTACACATTAACAGTTCATTGTTATTTAGACCTCTGAGATGCATGTTTTGCTTAAATAGGTGCAAATGCTATCCAGATGCTTATAAAAGTAGTTATTGGTAATAGGATGGCCAATCAAAGTACATGGCTAGGTAGTGATGTCATGATGTTATTTAATCTTTTACCCTAGAACAGAGTGCAAGAGTCTTCATAGTGATCCACATGTTTTTACCACAGTTGTCCTATTGGGCCCCTCTTTGATCTGCATGCTTCTTTTCAGCTGAATGCTGGTAAACGTCCTTTCTGACAGCCCCCTTTGCTCTTGCCTGCCATTATCTGCTGAAGTTCAGAAACCAGAGCATCACTTCAAACAAGAACGCTAGGGAGTAGCCAGTCAGAAGAGATTCCTGAGGCCTGCAGAGTTCTGGCATAATCATTCAAAGATGTTTGGGTAGAGGGTGGGGGTGGTAGAGGTGTATGTGCGTACAGAGAGCTGCAGGGGTTGGTCTCTGGTCACTGGTAAATAAGTGAAGTCAGGTGCCAGAGAGTCTAGACACAGTGGTTTCAGTCTTGGTCTTTGGTATCTGATACTCAATGTGGGACTGGTCTGATTGAACACTAGTGCTTCTTCATTGCACAGGCTAAAACCCTTTCAGGGCTTTCCTGTTAAATTACTAAAAGATGACAACAGACCGCTAAAACAGAACAAATCTAATTTTAATATTTCCTAGTTGCCAGTGATTACACTTCCTTTTGAAGTACTCTGGGTAGCAATCAAATTGAAGACAATGTTGTTCTGTTGCTTGGAGTTTGAATTAAGCATTTTAAATTTGAATGCTTTCATTAATATTGAAGCATTTCTCTTATGAAAAACATTCCATATTATAATACATTCTGTTCATTCTTAGTCCTAATTTATCTCTATTGTGAGGATGAAAGTTCAGTTAATTTTTAAAACATGTACATTTTTAAATGTAGCTTCTGATTTTTTTCCACATGTAATTTGACATAAAAATTTATTTTTAATCCTTCACTTCTAAACAAATCACCTGTACCTCTGCTTTCAGGGGTAATTTTCCAAATTCCAAAGGCTAGTTTGAAATGCACACTTTGTATTAGTAATACATGTTTTGTGGGTTTATTTTCCATTTGTTTTGTTTTGTTTGTGATGGTACTGGGGCTTGAACTCAGAACCAGAAAACTACCCTCGCTTTTTCACTGGAGGCTGAGCACTCTACCACTTGAGTGATACCTTCCAGCTTTTTGGTGATTAATTGGAAATGACAGTCTCACAGACTTTCCTGCCCAGGCTGGCTTTGAACCTCAATCTTCAGATCTCAGTCTCCTGAGTAGGTAGGATTACAGACATGAGCTTCTGCACCTATTTTGTGTGTTTAAAACATCACTTCAATTGAATGGATTTTCATTATTAAAATGTTTCTCAATATTAGTAAAAATTCAGATGACATCTATAGTAAATTTTGCATTCTAGAATGAAAACATATTAAAGAATTATCACATTTTACTCATTTACTCATCAGGTTTTATACTGGCAATTTTATACACATGCCTATACATTTATTTGTCATATATATATATATCCACTGAATTTTATATTTACTAGAGAATCTTTTTAGTCTAAAGCATTATTAAGTGTTATGACTCCCGTATAACTTGGTGGTTAGGAGCTGCAGTGTTAGGAAAGGCAGGCTATATGCCAAATCATTCTGCTGCTACTTCCAGCATATAGACCAGTGCTTTTGTAAGAATGATATCTAACAACTGGAGTGATGTTTTTGACTCTGGTTTCCAGCCGTTTGTTCTAGCACATAGCAATGACTATTTTTGCATGTTGGTCATATATCCTTTTTGAAAGTCAGAAGTTATCTGAAAGAGGTTGGGGGTGGCTCACGTCAGATAGCTAGCCTAGCAGCACATGGCCCTGACTTCAAGCCATAGTATGCCTCTCCCCCAGCCCCCACCCCCGCAAGAAAAGAGTGGATGGGATTAACACCATGAGCAGTCAAAACAAGATTTAATAGAATGACGTCTAAAATAGCACTGTGTCTGATTCATGAAGCCATATTTTATTCTAAAAACAAAGTATTGCCCCAAGATTAAATATAGAAATTTTAATTTCCATATTTTATAAATCTTAGGAGTAGCTTCCATATCTAGTAGCAAATTGGACTTGGAGAAATATATCCTTACATAATATACACTTAGTTTGCTGATTTGCCTAAAATAGAAAACTCTCTTCTCCAAACCATCACAAGTTCTTTTTTTTTTTGGCAAATATTACTAATGAAAAGTCTAGATTATAGTCAGTTGGCATAGGTAGTCAACTTTTTCCTAGCATTTTGTCTGCCTCTTCTCAGATCCTTTTCCCTTTATCATTGATTTTAATCTATACTGTCTTGCCTACAACTTCAGTTATCAGCCATATAAGACAATTCCTAATGTACTTTCAGACAAGACATAAATCTAGATGTACGATTGCAGCTTCCTGCTGAATACCTGCACTTTCTAGACTGTCTTATGCAGCTTTAACTCAACACACATAAAATCAAACTGGATTATCATTTAAGATTTGGTCCTAGGGACTGGGAAGGTGGCTCAGTGGTAGAGTGCTTGCCTTGCATGCATGAGGCCCTGGGTTCGGTTCCTCAGAACCACATAAGCAAAAAGAAAAAAGCCAGAAGTGGCGCTGTGGCTCAAGTGGTAGAGCGCTAGCCTTGAGCTGAAGAGCTGAGGGAC